CACTTTTCAATCAAAGTCTATTTGTAAGGGTTACTGACGGTCCTAATCATGAATATGGTACTAATTATTCATGCTAACTCCATTTTGCGCGAATTTTGAAACGTCAACTCGAAATGCAAAAATTTGTCACCACGAGGAATCGAACTAGGGACCCCTTTTCTGGTATTCAGAGGGCCGTTCAGGAAAAATTAACCATGGTTCTGTGGTTCCCGCATGTGCCCCTATATCATGCAAAAGACCGTTTTGAAAAAGCTTGGCACACCCTGAAAGACCTTCCTTGTTAGTCCTTGCCCCCCATCGACAGACTTGTGGACTTGGAGTTCTGAGATGACGGTATGTAAATGGTGCTAAGTTGAAAAATGTTGATAAATAACACCTGCTTGATCACGGTAAAACAGTCAGTAGCAATTATTATGCAGTTGATCTAAAATATCAAAATATCCCTTTATTGATACTCGTAGAATGAAGACAGATTGTTATAATTTATTCAATTCTGTCGTTGACGGCGCCTTTTTCCATGTGGCAATTTTGGTTCTTGAGATGGTTTTCCTGGCAAGCACGCAATGGTTTCAGATCGAGTTTTTCCAGCTTCTCCAACGGAAAACATGAATTTCCCAGAACTTAAATTTGCACATGCCGCTCCATAGGTACCGGCCGAGTTAGCCGCCACTACAGCACCTGAACACATTCATTGCCTTAATGATGAAAGGAGACCCTTATCCAGGAACTTACCTTGGAAATGAGGATAGTACTGAAGTATGCGTCGAATGGCCTTATGAGCTGCTTTGAAGGGTTTTGTACCTTGGCGCATTTGTTCGACAATGTAGAAGCTGAACCAATTATTCAATTGGCAGTTATCAAAAACCCTCTAGAGGAATAAGAACCTAGGCAAAAAGCGCAGGAGTATGTCACCATCTCCAGTAGCAGCAGCACCACCTACACCTTCAACAGCATATGCTCCTGCGCCCGGAATTGGCGAGTCTCCAACTCTGCCGGGAATCTGAAATACCGAATCATCTCAAACGTTTCATCATACTTAAGTGCTTAATTTCTTAACAAAGGGGTACTTAACTTGTATCGAGCTCCATTAGTAGAGGTGCCAGCACTTACATTCCCTGTTGAATCAACCACTACCATTCCTAGCGTGTCATGGTTAAACCTCAAAAAGGGATATCGGGCTGAAATTTTGAACAAATGAAAAAAGGCTTGCGGAATTCAAATGACCTGTCAATATGTCTTGCTGCTCGCGAATAAACATTGAAGTTTCTTCTCTGCATCATGATCGGGCGATAAGGACCGCATGAAGACGATGGATCAGGCGAAACGTTCTACAAAAACTGAGTACTATAGTAGCCACTCATACGGGCGAGTCATGACTTGTCGTCGACCAGCGACCCTTGGAAGACTGTAACCGACTATATCCTCTCCTCGAGTAGCTTCTCGAGTGGGCTGAGTGCGTAGTATTTCTTAAGATTCTATTTCTGCTAGCATAGGAACAGTACATCCTCCCACGAACCCTCAATCTCTCCTAATAAATTATTCCACTGGACAATCACAGTATCGTTACAGTAAATGGGCCAACACACCCTTGTCTCCCAAGCCCATCCTATATAACTGGTGTATCGGCCGGGAATCAAACCCGGATCGCCCACGTGCCAGGCGAACATTCTACCATTTCTTCCACCGTTTTATCGTAACCAAACGAGGGTTACCAAACCCTTGTTCCCAGCACCCATCCTAGAGGCGCAGCGATCCATGTCTCTCTCTCTCACTTCATGCGCTCGGTCCCCTCTTGCGAAGTCTTGAGTTGCCTGCACTATTATGGGTCAGGACATGCTGATTGTGCTGTCGCGCTAAAGTACGTAATTGAGCGCTCCGCGGGGTGATAGTCCATTTTGCTGCGTGGCGTAGTGGAAGTGCAGCGTTTCATAACGCTTACGGGCTGCTAGTGCAGCACATTTGCAGACCGCACGTTCCGGCTCAGCTTTTCTTACGCGCATACTACTGGACCTGCTCTTGACTAGTATTTTAAACCTGACTTAGATCTCCACGTTAATTTTCAAGTAACCCTGAGTTTCGTAATCAGCAGGCGGACACACACCAATTGAAACCCACACCCCGTACCCGCAGATATATACATTTGCAGATCGTGTATATAAGGAC